TGGCATAAAACTGAGGAAATAAAAGCACCAAAATTGACTGGGTTACAGTAGTGTATGCAAACTTGTGACCGATTGAGAAAGAAATTTTTTTTTTTTTTTATATCATTGGTTCTGAAAGAAGTATTGAAAAAAATATATATATTCGGCACCATTTTCTAAATTATTTAAACAATTGAGCACTAAATGACTGCTGAAATCTTCTGAAGCAGCTGAAACTGAGTCAGTAGCAAGAAACTAAAGACAACGTTGAAATAAATTAACATTTAAATTGATTACAGGTGTAGGTTGACCTGCATTATCAGCCCAGTAAAAACTTTTTGTAGTAAATAAAAAAAAAAACTTTTATTACAACTATATTGTACATACATTCACAGAAAAATAAAAAAGACAACACATTACAAAAATATATTCAACATATCACAGGTTGGACGACAATCATTCAGGACTCAAATCTAGTTACAAAAAGAAGTCACGTGTGTACATTTCTCCACAGGTTAACTTTAAAAATATTCACAATATAACCTTTTGGCCCACAGAGCTTTTGTAACATTTAATTTTATCAAACAAAAAAGGGAGTTCTGACAGCTCGTCATCAATCCAACATGTAACAATGCAAAAATACAATATGTTGGCCAAAAACATCATCAGCTTGAGGTGTTTTGACGTTAAAACGAAACATTTTCACATCATACAGAGGGAGAGTTCAGATTGCGGAGGGTCACAGGAACTTGAGACGGTAGCAACTTCTCAACCGCCACTTCAAAACGAGAAACTCAAGTGACCAAAACTTGTTCCACGAGGCGTCGCAGACTACAGTCGACGACTTTTGGATCCCAGCAATAGCTCAAACAGCTCTGAGCAAACAAGGCTGCCCTGTCTCCCAACTCTGAGCCTAGTAGCACATCGTTACTGAGAAAAGTGCAAATAACCACAAAAGACTTTCCTCTCCTTACGCTTCAACTGTTTAGAGTATCAGGACAAATGGTAATGAGGATGTCCTTCCTCAGCTGGAGAGACACACAGCTGAGCCAGCTGCGACTTGTGGGCATCTCCCCGACAATCTCCCATCTGTCCGTCTCTTCACAGTACCGCTCTATAGTGTCATGATATCTGCATGAAAAAAAAATAGCATTACAATACGTATACACAAGAACAATACGTATACTCTCAAAAGTTGTTTGATTTTTTTTTTAAAAAGCTGTCTTAAGTTGCTCACCTGTCCCAACCCTCCTCTCCTCCCAACACATAGATTTTTCCATCTACTACAGCAGCACCAGGCCGGTAGCGCCGTTCCTTCATGGCGGCGCACATGGTCCACTGGTTCGTCTTGGGATTGTAACACTCCACTTTATCAGTGTTCTCAGTCGAGGCGTGCCATCCACCTGCAAAAGGGGAACAAAGACCGATTAGATACGACTCCATTCATTCAAGAAAAACGTCAAGATGAGAGCAGAGTATTACCAATAACGTAGAGCTTTCCTTTGAGTGTACAAGCGGCTGAACCAGAGCGAGCGATCTGCATGGGGGCGATCTCTGTCCACGTAGTGGTTTTTGGATTGTAAACCTGTGCCAGGTTTGTGCCGTCACCGTCCTCTAGAACAGCACCGCCTGCCAGGTCATGGAAAACATCAGCAAGTGCAAAAACTCTTCAGCAGAGAAATTATCCAAACACCTGCGTGTAACTTACCTGTAACGTAGAGCAGACCGTCCAGTGCCACCACCGCAGGACTCGTGACGGCCATTTTAACGGACTCTGTGAACTGCCAGGAGTTGGTGTGGGGGTTGTAGCACTCTACAGAGTCGAGACGCGACCGCCCCTCCCATCCTCCCACAGCGTACACAAAACCATCCAACATCACCAGGCCTGAGAGCAGAAGATGGAGAGAATACAGTAAACATTTATCCTGAGAAGTCCAGTGGAGCATCTGATGGCTTTTTCCCCAAAACAGCAACTTGATGAATTATGATTTGAAATGCTGCATTTTGTGCTACAGAGAAAACATTTCAACATCTGAGACAAGAGAGTTAATAAGTCCTAATCATACAATAAATAAAGCTCCTTGATGGCGTTTTCAAAATTAATTTAGAGATTATGGGTCAGCTGCTGGAAAGAAAATTATTTCTGAGTTTGATTTACTGGTACATTAAATCGTCCTGAGAGAATTCAATAAAAGTGTGGATTTTTAAGTAAAGCACATTTAAAAAAATGGTATATTTACATCAATAAAACAGAAAAATATACAAAAAAAAAACAAATATCTGGCGCACACCAGATTTTTCCTGCATGCTCATGAGAATGTTTCTCACCAGATACTGTCCTTGGGCTTCGTAATCATGCCATATAGTTATTGTTTTGAGTTTATTTTTATTTATTTATTTTTTTATATCAGTTCCTTGCTTGCTTTTAGTCATTTCAATACTCTACTCCTTTTCAAAAACGTGTAGACAGATAATCTGGTTCTGAAGACAGTTTAATGAAGTATTTTAGTTCGAGGCTATCCTACCCAACTCGGAGCGAGCTACATTCATGGGAGCCATCTCCATCCAGGAGTCGAAGCAGGGGTCGTAGCGCCACATCTCTCTGCTCGCCGAACCGTCAGGAAACTCTCCTCCTGCCAAGTACAGAGTCGAATCTACAGAGACCAGAGATGGTGGAAAGAAAAAATAAAATGTATAAAACCATTAGCACTCATTTATGTTGGAGGAAACTGGTTGGTTTAATTTTATCCAGAAAATTACCGGTAACTCAAATTAGCCAAAAGGTTGTAAATATTGTAATAACACAAAAATAATGAGTCTTCATCGTACTAAACCTTTAAGAACCACCTCAAAAACTATTTGAAGGACCTGTGATCAATATTACCCTGTGTGCGTTTGTCTTTTACTTCTTGTTTATATGCAACCATTACGATCTATTGATTTATGACTTTTTGTGAGCATTTGTGCCATTAGCTATTGTTTGAGTGTTTTATTTTATCTTATTCCTTTTTATGCGTTTATTACCACCACCCTGCCAGGGACTACAGATGAAAATTAGCCACCATGGCTAAATCTGGTTTTCACCATGTTCATCAATGTGAACGGTCTGTTTTAAATAAAAATAAATCAAATGACCTGAGACAACCAGCCCATGTTTGCTCACAGCGAAGGGCAGACACGCCAGATTCTTCCACTGGTTGGTCACTGGGTCGAAGCTCTCCACGCTGCGCAGCACCACCTTGTCGTCCTCCCCGCCAACCGTCACGATCACTTCAGCTGTCCCTGTTGCCACGGAAACAGGAGTAAAGAGACGAAGGAGTGAGCAGCAGCCTGATGACCTTCAGGTACAATTTTAATCTAAAAGACAAGACAGCCCTTGGAAAATAAAATGTGTAAAGACTCAATATTCAACTAATTAGCTTACCATAAAAAAGCTAAAATAAAGACCGACTCATATATCAGCTTTTTTTCCCCTGACATGTCAAAAAAAAAAAAAAAAAAAAGCTCTAAACTGGTTATTAACCATCACTACCTATAAAGAAAACTTTTTTTTTTTTATTTCAAACGTGACAAATTATGGTTGACAAACAGTAAGAAGCGAGACTGACGTTACTGACGAGCTCTGAAGTTTTAATTAGCACCTTCAAACCATGCAGAAGAATCTGACATTTCTTAAAACAAGCAACACTTTCAGGTTTTCAAGTTTAATCTTTGCAAAAAAATAACTGGAAACAGAACTGGAAACAGCTGGTCAAAGTCTCCAGTGGAGTTATTTTAAAGAGTACCTCTTTCAGACCTCTTTGATGCTTCCCCTTTTTGTTTTAGTCTCAGAGTCTCTGAACCAGGTCATAAGACTGCATTAAAAAAAACTGCACTAAAAAAGGCCATACTCAACTTAGTATTTATTTTGTGTGAAATATATTATCTGATGCTTCATTTTCTGTGTTGTTCCAATTTACATAATCAACTATTATATTCGTGTTTTAATATTTTTGTTAATTAATTTACATGCTTTTTTGCCTTTCTACCTGATGCTGCTAAACTGAGGTGCAATTAAAAAAAGAATAAGATTTGTTGAAAAAATGCATACCACCCACCTCCTTTTAATTCAGAGATTTAAACTAAAATCGTTTTTAGGATAAGAGATGAAGTTATGGTCATTTTGGTCAAACCTTGTAACTAACATTATGGATGATTTCATGAAATATTACAGGCTCTTGGGAGGTGTGACAGTACTCAGGATGTGTTGAGAATGACTTTCAGCTGATAAACCACATTTAGCTCAATAGATGTAAACTTGATTGAGCTAAAGCCATTTAGAGATTGCCAAGCTCCACTGGCTGTGGCAACCATCTTAAATGGGACTGACTCCAAAAGTTAATCAGCTGTAAATATACATCCACTGACTACTTTGAGTTTCATCAATATGTCCAGTGTTTCATGAGATTTGTGCAAACGCTAGAGACGGACAAACAGGCAAAAACAATGTCTTGACTACAGCAGCAAACAATAAAAAACTTCTTTATAACAAGAACAACAATCTTGTGTGACTGCTTTGTTTTTTTTTGTTGTTTTTTTTGTACCCATCTTTAATCACCGATTCTTAGAAAATCGACCTGAACAAAATATTAACGGCAATAAACTTGTTTGTTTCTGGATTCCATTTGTAGGCGTGAGTGTGTTTACCTGTGGACCTGCGAGGTCTGACCCGGGGACTGTAGAGCTCTGCACGGCGGTCTTTCAGCAGCAGGTAGTCCTTGGCCTCAGAGATGAGCTTCTGGCAGCCCTGACTCTCCTTCACCACATCCAAAGACTCGATGACATCATGAAGGTAGTATGGGCTGATGAGAGACAGGCGGATGTGCTCGAGCACCTTTGAAGAGCAAATGGAAACAAAAGGTCCAAGTATTTCTTAAAATCTAAAATAAATAAAACAGTTTTGACAAAGGATAAGAGACTCAATTTCTTCTCATCACCAGCAGAAACTGTTTAAAGCCAAATAAATATTCTATTGAATTAAAAGTCAAAAGGTGTAAAGACGAAAAATTGTACACAAAAACAATATTTGATCAGCTGAATGGACAGATTTAAATCTCTGCCTCTGAAGGAAAAAACTCTTGTAGAAGGGGGCAAATGGTGCCACGTAACCCCAGATTTATGGACGTCTTAAAAGTTGAGGTTTTCTCCCACATAATAAAAATCCTGCAATAACATGCACCATAAAAGTAAAAAAAAACATAGGATGAAATAAAAAGGACAGTTCAATCTTTGGTTGCAACTCAGAAATTTATCAGCTCTTCAAAATTAAAGTCTGACCTTTTCAAAGCTCTGCTTGCGAGTGGGGCATTTATTCAACCACAACATGACGGCCTCAAACACCATCTCCTCTTTAGGCACGTTGAGAAGGTCACTGGCGATGATTTCTGTCAGTTTGTCCACGCACAGAGACAAAAACTCCTCCTGGAGAAAGCAGCAAACAGAAAGCATTAAATGTAAACAGCTTTTAGAAGCAGTTTGTAATAACGGAAGTTAAAACACTCATACGCCTTAGTTTGTGAAGATATTACTAAATATTCTACACCTTTAAATTTTAAAATTAAAATAAAACACACACTTAACATTCCTCACTGCAAACACTAGGACAGCCCTAAGGTACATAAAAACTATTAGAAACTGTCATTTTATAGATTTATAGCCAGGTAGTGGGTTTATGTACAAAAACGAGCAGAAATTATGTAATCTAAACAGAATAAATCAGAATTTTTTTTTTTGTTTAAATAATTTTTCTTCCACTACAATACTTCATGCTGATTAGCTGAAGGATCTTAAACATGTCGAACATTTTGTCTGAATCACACATCCTAGAAAAATGAACATTATTGTTTTAAAAATGTAAAGTGATTCCCTGTGAATCACTGGTGCAGCCATTAAAAGCGTTTTGACTCTTAGTACCGTATTTTCCGCCGTACACATCGCACTGCCCTATAAGTTGCATCAGTCCAAATATGTCTAATAAAGTGGAAAAATCCATAAATCTGTCGCTTCGTCATATAAGTCGCATCTATTATGCGTCACGTTTGTTACGCAACACTTAGACAATTATTTGTTTGCTCAAAATTATTGTAAAAGGTGCGTCTCAGTCTAACTTTAGCTTAATAAATACACTTGGACGGTCAAATCAGCTGCATTTCAAAAGCCGATTCATGGAAGTAGGAATGCATAGAAGGACGAGTCGATGTGCATTTCTTTATAATTTAACAAGACAAGCACCTAAAACAATTATTTGTTTGCTCGACATAGCAAAAGGTGTGTCTCAGTTTAACTTTTACTTAAATGCACTTCAATGGTCAAATTAGCTTCATTCTGCCCGGGCGGTGCAGCAAAATGAAGCCGATCTGACGGTTGCTCCGGGCAGGCTATGGCAAACCGATTGAGTCATTAATAGCCTATTAGATGACAACAGCATGCCATACAACTAGAGTGCCGTCTAGCGGCTGAAAATGGTAGAGGGTTTTTTTGTTCCCCCCCCCCCCCATTCAGAATGAATGAAGAGTCATATCTTAGCCAAAAATTGGGTTTATAAATATGGGAAAAAAAATCCATAAACAAGTCGTTTCGGTGTACAAGTCGCAGGGCATGCAAATTATGCAAAAAACTGCGACTTATAGGCCGAAAAATACAGTATCTCCCAACATTATAGAGCATGTGCATGCAGTCAAAAAACTGTATGCCTTCTGGGCTACACATCAGCCCTCGTCTTTATGGGCGAGACAAGCAATTTGACTGATGAAAATGTAGGACTTGTTAAATTATTAGGCATTTTAATATAATCTTTTTTTTATATATTTGCAATAATAATGTAATCATGAACAAAAATGAGTGCAACGAAACAAATTTTCCATAACATTGTCAACTTCACGGTTTTTTTTTTTACCCTTATATGGCGGTTGGTCTATCAAAAAGTAAAAGCAGAACAGTAATTTCCCAGCATCATTTCACCTGTTGACAAACACTGCTGAAGTGCTCCAGGATGTACTCCATGCTGCGTTTCTCCAGCATTTTACAGGAGTGGGCCTCGGCAAAACAGTGAATACCCACACAGTTCATCTCATCCATCTGACGCTCCATAAAGCGACAACAAGCCTCTCGAACCGCCATCACGTCCAGCAGATTGGCTGCTGCCAGCAGCGCCTACACACCAAATCCCATCAGCTGTTAGCGTACATCAGGTGAGCGGGGACAGGAGAAAGTGAGAGGATTTCTTACCTGGACGTTTGCTTTAGAGATGTACACCTCTGATGTGTAGGCGTAGCTCACCAGCATGCCAATCATCTGAGGCTCAACACCATTTATGGCAACACGCTCCTGTTTGGACTCCAGCATTTCAGCTGTAAACATTGCCTGAGGAGATGGGAAGAAACACACGCAGGTCAGGATTTTTCTTCCCCTGGCCTGATACCTTGAAGAGATGTGTTCACCTGGAAATAGGAGCTAAAAGACGCCAACACAATGCGATGACAGGGGAACTCCTGTCCTCCACAGCACAGAGTCACATCACAGAATGCATTGTTGAGCCGCAGGCCGTTCAGGCCCTGCAGGACTGTGTTGGGGTGCTTGGTCTCCACAAACAGGTAGTCCTCGCTGCTTTGGGAGGACGGAGGAGGGACAGCAGAAGCGCCGGCGTCCTCCTGGACCGGGAAGGTCGCGCTCATGGTGGACGGCAGGAGCAGAGGGGCGCTGGCGGCAACCACTTCAGCCATATCTGACTGTGCTAGGCAGACCTGAGAGGCAAAACACACAGGGTCCATGAAGCTAAACCCCTCTGACCTCAGCCTACCACTTGAGAACGCAATTAGTTAACTAGTTGGCAAAGTTGCTTTCTTGAATTTAGTTATAGCAAGGTCTAAAAGAACTAAAATGTGTAAGTTCAGCAGCAAAGAGGCGGAGACTCCCTGAGACAGTCTCACTAATGAGGCTTAGCTCATGCAGCCGTGCAAAACAAGCTACTTTTATCGAGTTAAACTACATCCAGAGCTCAAAAGAGAACATGCGATCAACACGCGGGTCATATTCAACAGTCGGAAACTGAAAGAGACCAATACAATACCTGTAAAACATAGTCGTGACCGCGACAGCGCGAAAACAGTCTTCCCACATTCCAGATTCAGTCAGCAGCCTTAAACGCCATACACACACCAAGCCCCGCCCATCTGCTCTTTATACTTTTGTAGCAGCTCTGACTATAGTCCCGCCTTCTGTCACTCTTACAACCAATCATCAATCAGAATTTCTCGCTAACCACCAATCATATCAGAGCTGTCCAATCAGAGCCTTTCCATTTGTATTTATCTACCTGGAGCTTACCTTACTTCTTGCAACAGTTTTTGTCTAAATACATATCTTCAAGCTAGTTAGTTTTCTAAAAGTATCTTGATTTAAAAGCTACTGTTCATATAATAATAATAATAAATAACATTATAACCCAGAGGCTTTTGGGGTGGCTTCTGTGGTTATGAGTTTTTATGAGAGTTTTATATGAGCAGAAGTATTCATATTAGATCAACATAAATATTTGTCACCAGAAGCTCTATAATTAAGAACTCCTAAGGGTACAGGCAGACAACACAGTAAGCAGAAAGTATCAGGCGGTCAAACCTCTGGAGTGGTCCGTGCTAAATACAAAAAAGGTTAAATCAGGTCATCTGGACAGTTTCTTTTTGAGACTGATGAAGTCTTTCGGATGAAAGACTAAACGTTTCTCCCAAACTGAAAAAGAACCAGTCCAGATGACCTTATTTAACCTTTTTGTATTTATTTACCTAGATGATTGAGTTTACAAACCTTTTATCTGAACCATTTTGTCTTCAGGCTGTTTCTGTGAGTAGCTGTTGGCCATCTGGCCTAAGATGTCTGATTATTATGATGATCGATTGTTTTGGGCTGATGTTCCTTTTTTGCATGCGTAAAGTGAGTTTCTGGGAATTCAACAGGAGGCTGGCTTTAAACACACCAATGAGGGCTATTTATAAGACAGATCTGGGTTGGCAAGCCAAAGACTTATGAAGACTTTTGGATGAAAGCTGAAGAACCCCTGTAGTGGGTCCCAATCCTTGTCCTCGAGGGCCACTGTCCTGCAATCAACTATCCAGTCCACCAGCACAAACAGAATAATGTTGTGTATGCTGTTCAGTGTCAGGAGGGCTGTGATCAGTTTTACATCAGGGAAACTAAACAGCTACTGGCCAAAAGGACGACCCAGCACAGAAGAGCAACATCATCAGGTCAGGACTCTGTGGTCTACACTCATCTACAGGTCAGCTGTCATTTTTTAAGGGGTGAAGATGTTCACATCCTTCGTAGAGAGGAATGTTGGTTTGAGAGAGGAGTATGCTATTTATAAGACTGAGTTTATTGCAGCTTCTCAGACTGAAAGTGTTTTGGATAAAATATGAAACGTTTCAACAAGTTTTTAAATTTTAACTTTTTTTTTTTAATCTGTCCAGAGGACCTGACTTTGTTAGACTATTCTGCAAGTTTTTGTTGTTTCTCTGCTTGGACACATCTGGTTTGAATAAATAAGTGATTATTGGGCTTCTGCAGAACTTGAAGTGCAGGGAAACCACTAAAACATGCAAGACAGTGGCTCTCGAGGACCAAAATGAGGCACTCCTGCTTAAATAAGCCATAAAACAATATAACAAAGTCCATGCTCAATAATCCAAGTATAAAATCCAACATTTTTCAGTCAGGTCATCTGGACAGTTTCTTTTTTTGTGCTGAAACGTTTCGCCTTCGATCCGGAAGGCTTCATAAAACAATATGCAAACTTTTCCTTGGTTCCAAGAACCTCCAAACAAGTCAAACACCATTTGAACATTACAATCAAGATTTGAAATATTTTCAACACAGAAAGGAAAACAATGATTTGTATGCTTTTTTATGTTTGTTTGACAAAATAGTAGCATGATCAAGAACAAGATGCTCAGCTAATTCAGCCCCTGACCTTCTTTTTATCTTTTTTGGGAATAAATTATCATAAGTTTGTATTTACACTGTTCTGTTAAGTTTGAACATCATTTATACATCCTGGGTTATAATCCTGATCAATTTATTTTACAGATTTAGCACAGATCAATTAATAACACCATACGACTTTTATTTATTCCCTTAACTTGTAAAAATTACTTGTGGAGAGGTTTGTAGGATCATCTTTACTAACAAGAAATCAAGCAGTTGCTATTCAAGGTACTTCCTTTACAGAAGACTCCAGATTTTAAATGTTTGTCTTTAACTGTGCTGCTTTTAAAAGATCACAGCGAGCTGTCCTTCATGACGCCTGGATTCTCCAGTGCCTTCGTCCTGCGAGCAGCAGCTTCCAAGATTTTCTTCCTGGGTCCTAACTGGATGCGAATGCCCTTCAGGTCTTCATCGGAGCAAAGCATGAGCGCCTCCAGGTCTAAGTGCTCTCTGCTGAAAGCGAGGGTGAACTGTGGCAGAGAAATGGAAGATAGAAATACATCTAAAGGTGAGCTTTCTTCCTCTTCATCGTCATCCAGTCCCAGATCTTCCTGGTCCCAAGGAAGATC